GAATTGCGAGAAAAAAGTCAGAATTGCGAGAAAAAACTGAATTGTGAGAACAAAATTAGAAATGCGAGAAAAAAACTGAATTCTGAGAAAAAAATTAGAATTGTGAGAAAAATGTCAGAATTGCGAGAAAAAACTGAATTGTGAGAAAAAAATGTGAATTGTGAGAAAAAAATGAATTGTGAGAAAAAAATGAATTGTGAGAAAAAAAGTCAGAATTGCGAGATTAACCATAGCAATCACTCTTTTAATTGTCTGTATTCTGTGACGGAACGAGCCTCCACAGCGCCGTGTGATCTCAAACTAATGTCATGTGACGGACCTCTGTGGCGTAGAGCACCTCCAGGATTTTGCCGAGGACCAGGTTGCTGTCACTCTCGTTCTCCTGACAGATCAGCTCAATGTCTCGGAGTTTGCCGAAGTAGAAGTCTCTCTCTTTCTCCAAACCGTCGACAGTCAGTTTCAGGGCCATCAGCTGCACACACACACACACACACAGTTTTTACTTCAGATTTATTTTTATTTAATTTTATATTTTTTAAATGATTTTATTAATTTTGAATTTATTCTGAATTTAATTAATTAATTTATTTAATATTTAATAATTTATTAAAGATTTATGACAAATTCAGTCACACAGTATTTTATTTATTTGTTTCTTATCTCTTATTTTTATTTTCCATAATTTCTTCAGATACTTGATCTTATGTTCTATCTCTACTGTAAGCTTTAGTAATAAATCAGTTGTAGTTAATAGTCAATTTAATGCTGATCGAATGAATCGTGATTTCTCAAGAAGCACACAATATTTAAAAACACAGACATATGTAAATTAGGCTACATTCTCCGCCTCTCATTGGCTGATGTCTGTATTCTGAGTGTGTATTACAATGTGTGTGTTTGTACCTATTTATCCATATTTTGGGAACAAATTTGTACTCAGACGTCAGCTAAACCTGACAAAACCTCCCAAAACCACCTTTTGAGCAGGTCTGCGTTTGTAAGAATCTAAATAACGTTTTCCGTGAGGGTTCGTGTTTACCTGCTGGTTGAGCTCCACGATCTCGGCGTCGCCGCCTCCGTTCCGTGACATTGGCATGTTCCTCCGTGTTCCGGTTGAGGGGGTGGAGCTTATGGGGCGTGGGGGGGCGGGCATAGTTTTGGGTACCGTTGGTGACGTCCGCTGGGGTCCTAAATATGAAACCAAAGTCATTAGCCAATCACAGCACAGCGCCTGACGCATCAGCCAATCACAAAGCAGAGGCTCACTCGTCAGCCAATCGAAATCTGATTTTCAGATTTGTGGGCGGGTCATGAAACACACACTAGACTCTCAGCTGTAGAAGGTTTCTGGAGAGGAGACTCGAAGCAGGCGAGCGGCTGAGCGAATCACACGCATGCGGAGTGTGTGTGTCTCTCTGTGTGTGTGTGTATGTGTGAGTGTGTCTGTCTCTCTGTGTGTGTGTGTGTGTG